ATTTGGGCGGTTTGACCAGGTTACCAGTTTAAATGCCCAGCCCTACTTTGTGCAGTAATTTTGTGCGAATCGCGCCACTTTACTTTGTTTTTTTTTTCTTTCTTTCAATTTATAAATAAAAACATCATGCTTTAGGACTTTTGAAAATTTAAAAAGGTAAAAAGAAGAAGGGTATATTCCTTCTTGTCTCAACTCCTTAATTAATATCAATTCAAACAAAAATGTCAATTAATCGAATATTTATCATCGGTTAAGCATGTCTTCCACATGAGAAAGTGAAATACCGCAAAATTACAAATTTACTAGTATAAATTGATTGCTTCAGTATGATAAACCTATGCAAAAAAGAAGCAATATAAAAATTCATACCCAAAATTGAAAGTTGTCTCTATTGACAAAGGAAAATTATATCCTATTTATTTCAAAATACACATACCTCTTTATTTAAAATATTAAAAAATTGTCCACATTTGGGTTTTATCTAAATTTGTAATGAAATTAATGTTGTAGTTATCTCTATTCTTTCTTCTTTTTTTATTTTTTTATTTTTTTTTTTTTGGTGAGACTTAATCAGAATTAGTTATGCACCAAAACTTTGTGTCCTAGTCCACTTAGGGAGAAAAAGGCTAATTATCACTATGGGATTCGATATTATAGAAGTATATATTCTCCATTATGGAGTTGCATTATGCGAATTAATTGCGAATTTCTATTTTTGCCGTGCGATCATTTCAATCTTCATTTCAACGCTTCATTTCCTCTCGCATAGTTCTCTCTCTCTCTCTTATATATTATTGGTGACGTGGTAAGTTAGGTAACGACGACGACTTTTTAAAAGAGTAGTGTCGTAGTATATAATAATAACTACGTTCTTTCCATATTTACAGTCGTTAATACTTCATTTGCACGTCGGTACTAAGGACCATAAGCATCGTGGAATCTATATCAATGATGGCAGTTTATTTTAAAGTATCGTCGTGACAAGAATTCTGCACGACGGTAAGTTAATATTTTTTGTCGTGGTTACTCTATGTTACGGCGGGACGTGGGTAAATTGTGTCATTTTATCTCCTTTAGAAGACACGAAATTTCTAAAAGCGTCGTCTAAGCTTATCGAAGTTGGCCTTTTTTGCAGCTTTTAGTTGGAGATGATGTAGAATGTTGTAACAACGTTGATAATTTACCGTCGTGATTTTATGCATCAAAAGATGGTGGTCAATTTCATGACGATTTAAAAACCGTCTACACAACGATGAATTCCCGTCGTCTATTGCAATTTTTGTAGTAGTGTCCTTGATCTCCAGCAGCCCAACCATTTCCAACTAATTCAGTTTTTCTTCTACCCATATCCATAACTGAACTAATGCATGATTCAAAAAGTAAGCCAATATTTCTACGCAAGAGAAGAAGCTCCTTGTCTTTTTCCTTTTCAACTCTTTCCATATGCAACAAGCCTCTCTTCAAAGATTCAACTGACTCATTTTTGGAAGTTAATTCTCCACGAACAATTGCAATTAATTTTGATACATTATTGGTTTTTTCATGTAATGAAATTGAGTGTTCATCTAATTTTTCTTTAAGCGCACAATTATGTAGGAAAAGAAAAGGGACGAGAGAGAGAGAGAGAGAGAGAGAGAGAGAGAGAGAGAGAGAGAGAGAGAGAGAGAGAGAGAGAGAGAGAGAGAGAGAGAGAGAGAGAGAGAGAGAGAGAGAGAGAGAGAGAGAGAGAGAGAGAGAGAGAGAGAGAGAGAGAGAGAGAGAGAGAGAGAGAGAGAGAGAGAGAGAGAGAGAGAGAGAGAGAGAGAGAGAGAGAGAGAGAGAGAGAGAGAGAGAGAGAGAGAGAGAGAGAGAGAGAGAGAGAGAGAGAGAGAGAGAGAGAGAGAGAGAGAGAGAGAGAGAGAGAGAGAGAGAGAGAGAGAGAGAGAGAGAGAGAGAGAGAGAGAGAGAGAGAGAGAGAGAGAGAGAGAGAGAGAGAGAGAGAGAGAGAGAGAGAGAGAGAGAGAGAGAGAGAGAGAGAGAGAGAGAGAGAGAGAGAGAGAGAGAGAGAGAGAGAGAGAGAGAGAGAGAGAGAGAGAGAGAGAGAGAGAGAGAGAGAGAGAGAGAGAGAGAGAGAGAGAGAGAGAGAGAGAGAGAGAGAGAGAGAGAGAGAGAGAGAGAGAGAGAGAGAGAGAGAGAGAGAGAGAGAGAGAGAGAGTGTGAGTGAACTTGGGAAGAGGAAATGAAGCGTTGAAATGAAGCCTGAAATGATCACACGGCAAAAAAAGAAATTCGCAATTAATCCGCATAATGCAACTCTGTAATGGAGAATATGTACTTCTCTAATATCAAATCCCATAGTGATCATTAGCCTTTTTCTCCCTAATTGGACAAGGACACGAAGTTTTGGTGCATAACTAATTCTGATTAGGTCTCTATTTAAAAATATATAATAAAAAATAGGAATAGAGAGGCTAACTACAACATTAATTTCATTACAAATTTAGATAAAACCCAAACATGGACAATTTGTCAAGATTCTAAATAAAGAGGTATGTGTATTCTGAAATATATAGGATATAATTTTCCCTTGTCAATAAAGAATAGAGATTCAAACTTAAGACAACTTTCAATTTTGTGTATGAATTTTTATATTGATTCTTTGTTGCATAGGTTCATCATACTAAAGCAATCAATTCATACTAGTAAATTTGTAATTTTGCGGTATTTCGCTTTCTCATGTGGAAGACATGCTTAATCGATGATAAATATTCGATTAATTGACGTTTTTGTTTGAATTGATATTAATTAAGGAGTTGAGACAAGAAGGAATATACCCTTCTTCTTTTTAGCTTTTTAAATTTCCAAAAGTCCTAAAGCATGATGTTTTTATTTATAAATTGAAAGAAAGAAAAAAAAAACACAAAGTAAAGTGTCGCGATTCGCACAAAATTACTGTACAGAAGACAAAGCATACAAATGAACCAGTGGCAATATCGTAATTCAGAGGAAGCACTTGGCGGGTTCCAAAAAATCCCACTTTAAAAGCACACTCTCACTGACTCTCACACTCACTCGGTAGTTTGCAAGTAGCCAGCAAAAATCACCTCTCAACCGTCTTCCTCTGTCTTCTTCTTCTTCTTCCTCCAACAATCGCCTGAAAAATTTCGCATCGATGGAATATTCCGGAGATGAATTCGACGTCATCGTGGTCGGAGCCGGCATCATGGGCAGCTCCACCGCCTACCAGACGGCCAAGCGTGGCCAGAAGACCCTTCTCCTCGAGCAATTCGACTTCCTCCACCACCGCGGCTCCTCCCATGGTGAATCCCGGACGATCCGCGCCACCTACCCGGAAGACTACTACACGCCATTGGTTCTCCAGTCCTACAAGCTCTGGCAGCAAGCCGAGTCCGAGATCGGCTACAATGTCTACTTCAAAGCTCACCAATTGGACATGGCCCCGGCAAACGACAAGGTTCTGCATGCCGTTGTTGAGAGCTGTCGTAAGAATTCGGTACCCGTTCGGGTCATGAACCGGGACCAGCTGGATCGGGAGTTCTCGGGTCGGGTTCGGATTCCGGAGGATTGGGTGGCCATGGCAACGGAGCATGGTGGGGTTATTAAACCCACCAAGGCTGTGTCGATGTTTCAAACACTTGCTCTGCAGAATGGTGCCGTTTTAAGGGACAATATGGAGGTGAAGGGTGTGGAGAGAGATGGGGTGAGAGGAGGGGTTTGGGTGTGCACAGAAAATGGAGAGAGGTTTTGGGGGAAGAAGTGTGTGGTGACCGTTGGGGCTTGGACTACAAAGTTAGTTAAAACGGTTGGTGGGATTGAGATGCCTATGCAGCCATTGGAGACCGCTGTTTGTTATTGGAAGATTAAGGAGGGGCATGAGGGTGGTTTTGCCATTGGAGGTGACTTTCCAACCTTTGCTAGCTATGGGGACAACTACATTTATGGGACACCCTCTTTGGAGTACCCCGATTTGATCAAGGTTTCCATGCATGGCGGGTACCCATGTGAGCCGGATAAGAGGCCATGGGGACCCGGGAACACGCTGGCTCCGAACACTCTGGCTCCGTTGAAGGAGTGGATTGAGGGGAGGTTCTCCGGTATGGTTGACTCCGGTGGGCCGGTGGCCACTCAGACTCAGCTGTGTATGTACTCCACGACTCCGGATGAGGACTTTGTGATTGATTTCTTGGGTGGGGAGTTTGGGAAGGATGTGGTGGTGGGTGGCGGGTTTTCGGATCACGGGTTCAAGCTCAGCTGTGTATGTACTCCACGACTCCGGATGAGGACTTTGTGATTGATTTCTTGGGTGGGGAGTTTGGGAAGGATGTGGTGGTGGGTGGCGGGTTTTCGGGTCACGGGTTCAAGCTGTCTCCGGTGGTGGGGAGGATATTGGCTGACCTTGCACTTAGTGGGGAGGCTCAAGGAGTGGAGCTAAAGCACTTTAGGATAGCAAGGTTTCGAGAGAATCCTAAAGGCAATGTTAAAGACTTCCTATAGATCATCGGTGCTAATTTGAAGCAAAATTGGGTAGCTTCCATCTGTGACCAATAATTGGAAGCACCTTAGGATACTAAACTGTATGTGGTTATGTAAACTGTATGTTAGCATGTATGTGTGTGTTGGATAAATAAACACACTGCTTCATTTGGTGTTCAATGAACCTCGAAATGTTGCATCAATTTTACAAATTTCGTTTTTTTTATTTTTTGTTTTTTTGTTTTTGTTCTCAAATTTCGTTTTAAAAAACTGAAACCAACATCTAGAAATTTGAGGTGGACATAATTCTATGAAAATAAAAGGCAATTTGAAACCCAAGGAGCTATTAATTCAAGTTGTTATGAGCAGTTTTCCGGTATCCGAAATCCTGTATTCGAATTCTCATTTCCCCATATCGCTTGGAATAAGAAATATATAATAAGAAAAAGCCCAATTCGAACCAATTTGAAAAAAGTAGATACTAATTGATGACCAAAAAGAACCAAGTATACAGGTACAAAATCTGCTTGCAGAAAACCGAGTCAAAGCCTTCACATATATCCCTGGAATTTACATTACATAATACCATAAAAGCACTACTTTGGAGCTTTTGTTACAGCTAAATTCCCTCTAATTTTAATAAGAGAACCTATAATAATAACAGCTATCATGTGTACAACCTTTGGTTGGGTATTGAGGTAAACAAATTTTGACCTATGATCCCTATGATGGAATTTCCTTTTTCTTATTAGATGCAACCAAGCTTCCGAGATTCATTACAATAAAAAATGGGAATCTGAATTGCTTGGTTGAGCAAAATAATAAATCAATCTAACCACATCTAGGAAGGAGAAAAAAATTGCAGATTAAGCTTCCAACTTAATACCCCAACAAAAGCATAATCATAGTTGGGACTAGGAGCCCATCTTGCATCCCAACCAAATGCGAACCTGCAACACAAGCAAACGCAAAGCATAAGATTTGACTTTCAAGCAGAATTTCCAGACATATCAGTAGAGCAAGATCAGATGTTCAATAAAATCAATAAAACAGATTTGCGACCAAACAACACCTGACAAGAGGATCTCTGACCATTTGGCTTTTCAAATTGCAAAAGTAGCAACAAGCGCATGCAGTATAAACCAATAGAGTATAATGCCAAGCCGTAAAGCAGGTTGCCGCATTAGAGTCCGCTCACAAGAAACCCTGGAGATTGTGTACAAGATGATTTAGTTTATTCACAAAATCTAGGAAAGTTTCAAATTGAAATATTACAAAAATAATAATAATATGGAATTCGATGTGTACCAAAGGCCATCGACCATGTCAGTCACAGGTCTTGTAAATCTTGGAACAATTCTTGATGTAGTGAGTGACTTGAAACCATGAACTACAGCAAAAGAAACAAAGAAAAGTCAAACACGAGTAAGAAATGCCTTGACTTGTCTGACTTGGAATTAGAGGAAAAGAACAGTAAAAGATGACAGAAACTATATCAGTATAGGATTTTACCTTTATCATCCTCTTCATCGTCCAACCTACTAGTCTTCTCAGAATCCATATCTATGGCAATTGCAACTTGGTCACTATTGCCTTTGCGCAAACTGCGGACTTGAGGTGCAATGGAGGTCCCAGATGCCACCCAGTTGTTTATCTATTAAAAAAATCCACAAATTAAAGTCATTAATGACATTCCAATACTCTGACAAAGGCCTAGAAATGCAAGTTAATATACAAATAAACATATAAACATCTCACCGCAGGTTCAACCTCGATAATTTCAGAGGTCATACTAGTTCCTCTGCCAGAATCTCCAACACCTTCAAGCAAATTTAGTCGCGATTCTTTCTCATGTAAAGACTTCTCAAGACTTTCTCCCTTCCGTGTTAATTCTTGTACCTTACTCCTCTCAACTTGCAATAGCGTATCCTTGCTTTGAGCTACAGCCTGTAGATCCTCCAATTCTGATATAATACAATCAATCTTTTTCTTAAATATTTCCTTATGTTCAGAGTCATGATCATTGTTCTTATCCATAAGATATGCATTGTGCACAACAACCCGAGCAACATTCATATCAAACCATGTTAATAACTCATGGATCTCATCTGAATTTCTCTTGTTGTTGGTTTGAGATGCAACAAGAACATCATTGGTGCACCTAGTGACCTCTTGCCTTAAGAAAGATATCTCAGCATCCCGATCTTGCAATTGTGATTGGAGCTTTTCCACCTCGGCAAGGAGGTTTGCAGATAGATGATGTAGCTCATCAAACTTTCTCACAGTGACAGAAAGCTTTTTCATAACCTTCCCACGAGAAGCTTCAAGGTTCTCAAGATCTAAGTTCTTTTGTTCCACAACACTTTCCAATTCCTTAATCTTGAAAGTGAGACCTTGCATTTGCACCTCCTCATCATCAAGTGCTTGCATTAGGTCCTCAATCTCTGCAATCACAAGCAATTTTATAATTATTGATTATTTAAATAACCATTTTAAACTTCCTTCAAAAGATAAACATTCAAATTATATATTTGATGGTGTGGATCAAATGTCAATGAGAACTGACCTTGGTCTTTGGCAGCAATCACATCAGTCAGTGATCTGACCCTCTCTTGCAAATCGGTAGAAGTCGCACGACCATCTTCTAGCTCTTTCACTCTCTGCTCCAACAGGTTACGTTCACCCTTCATCACTTCCACCTGTTTTTCCAAATCATGCACCAACATTTTTGAGGATTGAAGATCCATTGAATAACTTGTCGCAGCCGCTTCAGCCCCCTTGATTTGACTTACAAGCTCCATGCAGATCCTTTCCCTTTGAATGTCCTTCTCCTGAAGTTCTTTCTGCAACTTGGAAATGGTAATCTTCAATTCCTTTTGGTTACCTTCCACAATTTCCGCTGTCAGAGTACCAAAATCATTCACAGTCGACAATAGCCCGTCCGTCATAGTCCTGACACATTCCTCAGAGTGAAACTGCTCCTCTCCACCAAAAGAAAGTCCATCGACGGGAAATTCTGCTGATTTCAATCTCATCCCTTGATCTCCAGCAGCCCAACCATTTCCGACCAATTCAGTTTTTCTTCTACCCATTTCCATAACTGAACTAGTGCATGCTTCAAAAAGTAAGCCAATATTTCTACGCAAGAGAAGAAGCTCCTTGTCTTTTTCCTTTTCAACTCTTTCCATATGCAACAAGTCTCTCTTCAAGGATTCAACTGACTCATTTTTGGAAGTTAATTCTCCATGAACAATTGCAATTAATTTTGATACATTATTGGTTTTTTCATGTAATGAAATTGAGTGTTCATCTAATTTTTCTTTAAGCGCACCAACCTCCACCATGAGTTCTTGCAGATAATGCCTTACATAACTAAAGATTCCAACAATAAAATTGTCATCTGAACGGCCATGCATGTTGGAGTCTGACCAAGAATTCATCAAAGTAAAGTTCTCCTGAACAGGGAAACTGAAATTAGAAGATATAGAAAATGCTATGTATATATAAAAAATAAAAATTAAAAATTAATAGTCTAACTGAAGCTGATGCGAGAGAAGAAAGCTTCAGATGAAATTTAAAGACTATATAATTGCCATACAAAATATAACAGAAAAAAGAGGTAAACAGCAATCATGATATACATAATAGTCATTAGTGATAATGATAATAACAGTATGCAAATGATAAGAGTATTACTATACCAAATTTTGGATACCAAGTGATGTGAACGTATTCATTTCTTCATTCTTGGTCCCACTTACTGTAATATGAGTCCTAGTTACTTTCAACAAAAGATAATGCTATATCATCTGTCACATCACTTGATATCCAAGAGTGTGAAATACATATACATAAAATGAATTCTTTTATAATCATTTGACACTAAAGAAGCTTCATTTCTAACAAGCTTACTGCAGTGAACAACACCATACTGTTTAACAAAATCATCGCACTTGTCTAACTTTTAGATGAATTTTATTAGTATTTTTGGGCAGGGGGAAGATGCAACAGAATTGAAACAAAGAACCTAGAATAAGTAGGAAATTGCCTTTAACAATCCACATAGAGAAACAAGAATAATAAAAAGAAAGTTGTAAAATACAATGGAACCAACGTTTGAGCGCATGCATAGTAAAGTACCTTATCTGATTTGCTCGTTATAAATCCACCCGTTGTAGTAAAAAGGGGTACATCAACCACATCAGCAGCACTGCTTGATTTGAGGCAGGAGTCAATACCAGACTCTAGGTTGTGCAAAAATTCCATGTCCTGGTGAAAAACACCAGCCAGTAAATTACTAACATCTTGGAACCCCTTCCTGAGTTGATCTACTCCAGACTTTAATCCCGCAAATTCAGAATGAGCTGTAGATAACTTTTCAAGACGAGAAAGAGCATCAAGCTTGGCGGCCTCTGTGAGATCCCTTTCCTTGGAGAGTGTAGCAAGTTCACTCGCAGATTTTGCTAGCTCTTCCTGGAGACCATCATTTCTCTCTTGAACCTCATTCAGTTCTGCAAGGAGTAGCTCTGCTGCTCTTTTTGATTTCCTAGCCTCCTGTTCCGAAGAAGACATATCTGCACGCAAATCACAGCACACTTTCCAAATATGTTCCAACTTCAAAACAGGATCACCAGAATTAGCATCATCTCCAACATCGATGTTGCCTAAAACATTTAAGATCAAGCTCAAAGTATTTCCTTGCTCCTGCAAATTGTGCTCACTTTCTTTCAAACAATTCCGCAAGAACAAAATCTCAGAATCTAGGGCTTCTACCCTCCCTGGATAAGCAGACAAATCCTTGAACTTCTCTTCATACTCTGCAAGTTTACCTTCCCCTATCTTGATCTCAGATCTCAAGCATTCCACCTCAGAATTGATCTCATCAAGATTTTGTTTCAGACTGTCACGCTGTTGCACCAATTGCTTTCCTTTTCTAACTGCAATGTTTAACTTATCTCTAACAGAAGCTGATTTCTGTTCCTCCTGATTAAGCAGCCCTTGCAACTCACTCACTTTTTTATCGAGTGCTTCTACCTCACAAGCCAAAGACCCTTGCTTCTCCAGATATCCATCTCTCTCCTCCTTCACAGCCAAAATTTCACGCTGAACCTCCTCCAACTCTTTCTTCAAAACAGCAATATCTGATTCAGCAGTATCAGGTGTAATTACGCTTCTTGCTTGATCAACCGTTGCTTCGGCAATTTCTGTATGGGTACCATCAGCTGCACTCCCAAACACTGGTTTTTCTGAGGAAAGAGTTGCATAATTCTCTAATAGCTTATTCAGTAACCCTTCAAAGCACTCAATGCTGCTTTCACCAGAATACTCTAACTTTATTCCAGGAACCTGCAAAGCATCAGTAACAAGACCCTGCAATCTTCTTATGTCACCTTCTATGCTGAAAATTTGCTCCTCATTCCCACACATCTTGGCTACATTCTCCTGCAAATCCGTAACTTCCTCCTGCAGTTTTTCATTCTCAAGCTCAAGCTCAGCTGCCTTTGCTGAAATTTTATCATGATCATTGATCAGAACCTCCAATCTTTGAGAAAGATTATTTCTCTCATCGATAAGTGTTTGAAGTTCTTCCTCAAGGTCAGATATTCTCCTTTTTGAGTCTTCCAAATCAGCAGTTAGTGATACACAAATGTTTTCAAGGTTAACAACCTTCTGCTGGAGAGACATATTATCACCCTCTGCCTCCAAAAGTGCTTTTCTTAACCACTCAATCCTATCCTCGGGCTCCATGGACCGCAGATGCGATGGCATATCAAACCTGTCCAGAAGTTCCTCCCACCTCTGGACTAAGTTGTTCCTCTCCATTAAAGATTGTTCCAACATTTCATTCTGTTCAGCCAACCCATAGAACTTATTTTGAAGTTCATCATATTTTCTTTTGATATCATCACTAGAATCTGAGCTTGGCTGTACATCATCTTTCCAGGAATCCATAACAACAAAACCAGCATCAGAGTATGAACCTCCACCAGCAGAACTCTTCTGATCTGAATCTGTCAGAGGAAAAGTGTTACCAGTAGCTGACCTAGCCAGCCAATCAATCTTTTCAATAATATCCCTCGAATGAAAATTCTCTGGCAGATCAAGGTCTTCCAAAATCTCTTCTATTCTCTGAAGGACAGAGTCTTTGAGAAGGAATGATTCCCTTAATGCAGTAGCCGAATTGCGAATGTATGAAAGCTCAGATTCCAGAGCTTCCACACGCTCACCTGCCTCTGAATATGCCTTGAGTTTTGTTTCAACCTCAACAAGCATGGAGTCTTTCAATTGCAGCTCCTGCAAGAATCTTTCCAGCTCACTAGATTTCTCCGTAAGGGACTGTTTGAGACCATCTCGCTGCACAATCAAGCCTTTCCCCTTAGAGACAGCAATGCTAAGCTTCTCTCTTAGGGAAGACACCCGTTGCTCCGATTGTTCAAGTTCATTTAGTTTCTCCTGTAACTCAGAACGAGCAACAAGAAGGGCATCCTCCACATGACGTAAACTTTCCTTGACAACAATGGTTTCACTTTCACGCTGGGAACACAAAGCATTTAAATGCTGTATTTCTTCCTGCATTGAAGTCAATTCCATCGCCTTAGATTGAAAACCTTCTTGAGATAAGCCTACCTGCACATCAGCCTCCTCGTACTTCCGAACAAGACACGACACCAATGATTCTAAGCGTGAAGCAGGCATTTTATCTACGTGAACCTCAGCATGTTCCACTTTTAGCACACCTTCAACATCTTTTATTAACTTCTGAATAGAATTTGCATCGAGGCATCTCTGTTTTAGCTCCTCAAATTCTTCTGTTCTATCCAACAACTCTGAGTTTATCTTCTTGTTAACAGATTGGAGTTGCAGCCTCTCACTCAGAAAATTCTCCAGCTGCTCTATGATGGTTACAAAATTACTGTAATCCAGATGATCAGGAAGCTTCTCATTTTCCGGGTTCATCTCACTTTCATCTATAGACCCATGCAAAACTCTAAGAAGTTTTTGAAGGCTGTCATACAACTTGCACAGAGTATCACTAGCCAATTCATTCTTTCCATGCAGATCATCACATTTCTCATTCACTTCTTTGTATAAAGTACAAATAGCCTCACGGTCCATTTGAGAACTTTGAAGTTTCCCCTTTAGATCTTCAATAACACTGACAGCATCATATACAGAAGAAACGAAATGACTAATTGTATCCAGACAATCATGAGAGACTGGTGTAGTTGTGGAACTCCCAAGAGATTCATCAAGTTTCCCAATTGCTTCAACAACCGGAGCAATAGTGGAATTCCAATGCTGCTCAAGTATCAAAACCCTCTCTGCTGCTTCCTTGTGAAAATTTTCTAACTGATCAGAGATCTGAGATACCAGGTCATTTGAACTTGTATGTAAATCATGCAATCGACTCTGCAATTGACTAATTCTTGATTCATACCCATGTAGCTTTCTACCAACTTCCACGTTTTCTGCTTCGAGATTAGTAACTTGTAGTTGTAAGGACTCACAGAGAACCACAAGCTCGCTATTCCTTGTTTCAATGCGGCCCCTATGTTGTTCTAAAGCTTCATATAGGACACCAAGCTCAATGTTGGTGGCTTCCAGCTTCTTGCTATGTTCCTCCAAGGCTTCATACTGATCCTTCAGCTCCCCAAATGTGGCATTAGCAGTTTTCCTACCCTCTCGTTCCTCCTTGAGCAGCACACTGGCATTTGCAGCATCCAGATGCAACTGCTCAAATAATGCTCTCAAGTTTCCAGTTTGCTCTCTTACTGATGCAATTGAATCTGCAGGTGATTGATTGTTAGTTAGACCTCGTTCCTCGACATCAAGTTCTTCAAGATGCGCCTTTGACTCGAAGGCTTGAATCAGTTTTGACACTGGAGGTGTGGAAACTTTATCATCTGACCTGTTCAAGGATTCTGAATGAGAGCAGATGCCTTCAATTTCCGGTACAAGTTTATTCAACATTTTATTTGCCTCCTCCAAGCGTCCCTTTAGTGCTACAAACCCAAAGGAATCATCAAAGATTTCACGCCCAAGATTCAGAAATGGTGAGCTTCCTACACAGCCATCAGAAAAGGGTTTTTCCACCATAATAAAGGAAACTTCACTATCTTCCTTTCCTGGAACTTGATGAAAATTTTCACTTTCAGTTGCAATCTCATGACCCCTGCTCTGCACTTCTGAGAGTTCAACTTGATTCTCAGCTTCCCCAGCTTGAGCTGGTATTTTGATTCCATCCTCATCAACCTCTCTCATCTTGGCTTTAAGTATGTCCAGACTGCTAGTAAGAAAAATATTTTCTTCGGTGAGTTGGTCAAGGCGTGTTGAAGTTTCTTTTAAGTCAATCACAACCCTCATATGTTCTCCATGTTCTGCAGATAACCGCTCTTGAAGAACAAGAAGTTCAGAAGAAAGTCTCTCAATCTCATGAGCAGAATGCTCCTTCTCTTCCTCGAGCTTCTTTCTCTCCACTGTAACTAAACCAAGACTCGCATTCAAATTTCCATTTTCTACCTGCAAAGCCAATACTAAATTCTTACTGTCAGCCAATTCTATTGCAAGTTTCTCATTCTCAGAGGAAAGATGTTCCTTCTCCTCCTCAAGTTTCTTTCTCTCCTCTGTTACTGAACCCAGACTCCCACTCAAGTTGGATATTTGACCCTGTAGAGCTGCCACAAAACTTTTGCCATCAACTAAGTCTGCTGAAAGCTTCTCCTTCTCGTGTAGATGAAGATCATTTTGCTCAACAAGTTTCTTTCTATCTTCATCCATTGAAGCAATAGTCCCATTTAATTTCTCATTTTCCACCTGTAAAGCTGCCACCAAAGACTTGCAGTCAGCCAACTCTTCTGACAGTCTTGACAAATCCTGCCATGACCTTTCCAGGCTGCTATGCAATTCAATTGCTCTAGCAGAAAATTCTTCAGTGTCTGCCTTCGCAGTTTGAAATTGGTTTTGGAGCTCCTCCCTTCCACTAGCAACAGGCTGGAGTTCACATCTGCACTCTGCAAGCTCTTCAGCAAGGTATTGGTTCTTCTCACGAACTTCATTGAGTGAAGCACGAAGAAGAGATGTTTCATCAAGCAACTGATTACGCTGGCAATCAAACTCCACTTGCATCTCAGACTGCTGTGCAAGCTGCAAGTGAAAGATATCTTTTGTGAAATTTGTGAGAATCAATTCTTCTTTAAGTCGCTCAAATGATTCTGGAAATCCATATTCTGGCCCAATAAAATTGGTAATCCCTGGAAATGAGTTAGAAACTGATTCGATTGTCTTAAGAAGAATCCGAAACTCTTCTTCATTAAGCCTCCTAATTACTTCTGTGAGCTGTGAGAGACTGATTGAGCTGACATCTGCAACAGGAGACACAGTCCATCCTTTATCTGGACTCACCACATTGATTTGTGGAGGCCTTTCACAGCCATCCAACGGATGTTTCTGATGAAAATCCTCAGCAACGTCCCTATGTTCTTCCCCACCTTGCTCAGAACCAGATCCAAATTGCACCTCTGACTTTTCTTCAAAATAAGAACCTGGAACATCTTCTCTTTTCTGCTCGGTTGGCACAACAGCACTAACAAGTAAAGATCCATCTGCCTCAGGTAAAGCAGAAGCAGATACTGTGAGTCCATCAGACATGGTTGCACCAGCTGGCCCAGATGCTTCATCTGCCTTACCAGTTTGCCCATCTACAGAGGAAGCTAGGTTGGTGAGAGCTTCAGCAGTTCTATCAATCTCAGACAGAGAAAGAATTTCATCTCCTTCATGACTAGGATCAGATTGCTTTGTATCTGAAGCAAATACTAACATTCCATCAGATGCTTCATCCACCTTACCAGTTTGCTCATCTACAGAGGGTGCTTTACCAGAGAAACTTTCAAGGCTTCTATCAAGCTCAGATGAAGAAAGCATGTTATCTCCTTCAAGCTTCACTTCTGCTTCACGACTAGGATCAGATTGCTTTGTATCTGAAGCAAATACTAAAATTCCATTAGATGCTTCATCCAACTTACCAATTTGCTCATCTACAGAGGGTGCTTCACCAGAGAAACTTTCAATGCTTCTATCAAGCTCAGATGAAGAAAGCATGTTATCTCCTTTAAGCTCCAATTCTGCTTCATGTCTATGATTAGATTTCTTTGCATCCAAACCATCAGCTTCCTGCATTGCCCCTACCCAGCAACAAATGAGATTCTAATTATACATCAAACCCATCAGTTTTCCTAATCTGCCCAGTTAACTTCCAGGAGAATCCCAATAGAATAGAGAATATACAAAGAAAGTTAAACAAAAAAAGGAGAAGAGTACAACCTACATCGGTTACCTGATCTTCCCTCTGCTGCATCAACACTGTATTAATATTCTCCTGTGAAGGCAATGACTCCTCTTCTCTACTCAGACTCTCTGTGTCAACAGTAACACACATCCCCGCAGCAACATCAACTGAAGCGGGTTGCGCTGACACATCAACTGGTATAGACATATTGGCATCTTTGGCTTGCCCTCCAGAATCCACAACATGTGACGTGTCCGAAGAAATAACCCTTGCCACCTCAGCATCAGCGGTCCCAGCATTCTCCCCCTCATTCCTGACAGAAAATTCAACATCATGCTTAGTGACCCCCACCTCCTGTGATGGTGACTCAGCATTTTGGTCGATCGGAGTTTCAACTACACTTGTCTCATGTGTAATGGGCACCACCGAGGGACCAGCAGCAGCAACATTAATTTCAGAAGCTGCAGATTTCTCCCCAGAATGTGACCCTGATGAGTTGATGATATTCAGATTAGCATCTATAGGAGACTCAGTTTCTCCTTCAGGGGCCTGAGGCAATGCTGTAGATTTAGCGGCACTAGAGACTGCATCAGCATCAGCTTCATTCTGATCCGATTTACCAGACTTCTTTGAGGATTTTCCATGGCTTCCACTGCCTTTACTATCTTTCTTCTGACGATATTGTTGAAGCTGATGACAAATATACAAGACTATATATTAAAATCCGATAGCTCATTTCCACTCTCTGGTTTGTTCATGTGACACTAAAGAAAACAAAAAAGAAAAAGATAGAAAATACCCATAGGCACTATACAAAAAAATTTCTTTAAACATATCTAAAGTAACATAGAAAAAGGATACAACACAGACAAGTTAGAATTTAATAGGGGTGGCAGATTAGGGCATGTAATACATGGGATGCGTCAAAAACCCTAATGCTCTCTTATAACCAAGAGCTATGTGTACCTTTTTTCGTCCGGCAGCGAGCAGATCGGTACGGCTCTTGTTCTTGTCCATCCGATCCACTCCGTTCTTGCTCCCCACTGTGTATCCGCGCAGATCACCACGGCCACGTCTCAATCACCATTGAATCCTGCCTATAAACCATTAAACACAATCACCATTACATAGAATAAATACACGTTCGGTACAGAAAAATCAAAACTGAAACTCGAATTTGATGCTGATTTCAGAAAATGAGAAACATGCCGGCACTGAGCCCAATACATTTGGTACATTTTCATTCAATTTCCTTTCCCGGCAACCAAACAGGATATCAAAATTAAATCCGATTCGGAAGATCAAGAACCTAATTCACTCACTAACAAGCCCCAAAAACAAACCTAATTAGACGAAAACAGAGCAACGAAAACGGGCAGGAATCACAGAACACGAAAACGAAATCGATTCGTTCGAAAATTCAAACGAAGAAAGCGTACCTGAATTTCGCACCAGCTCCATGTATTGGGCCGCCGTGGTTAATAGGATGGTTTTGGTGCCAATTGCTTGGGCTCTAATGAAAGCTTCTATGGCGCCCTCTGGGTCTCTCTCTCGGAGTCACTGCGTGCATGCGTTGGTCCCTTCCTTGTCCCCTTGGATCTAACGCAACCTTCGTTTTTGCTGTGCTAACCTCATTTGCCTGTAGGTAGCGTGAGATGTCGATTTGGAAGGGAAGGGAATTGAAACGTCGCTGTTTTGGTGATTGGGGTTGGTTGGACTTGGAGCAACTGTTTTCCGTTTGCTATTGAACCCAATACGCCTTGGGCCTTCGGTGAAATGGATTGTCCATCTAACCGAGAAATATATTATAAAACCCAATTATGTTTTTTTTTTTTTTTTAAATTCACAATGTTCTGATATGACGGTTTTTTTTTTTTTTCAAAACAAGTATATTCTACTATAATCTAATATAAAGTACAATGAGGAAAATTCGAACTCTGGTGCATAGTGGGGAGCACAATCGCTCTAACTAATTTGGCTAAACTCATGTTTTCTATGACACGGTGTTTTTTTTTTTTGTCAAAGTCAGAAAATGGGAGGAGGCTTTTCTCACACATACTCTTAAGGTGTCAAGGGAGTCGAACCTAGAATAACTGGTCTGTAAGTCAAGGTCCTTTTTCACTGCACCAAAATCCCTTTACCTATTACGCCTTACATAAGTTGAGATAAATAATTTGACTTTTCCATTAATGTTTATAGACTACTTTGGGGAAGTCAAGCATTATCGAATAGTCTTTCAACGGTAAGTTAGGTATTTAGATGCATACATAGGTCGATCTATTAAGGAGTTAGAGGGGGTAGGCTCCTTGTTTTAGAGTGGGGTTGGACAGGGTGGGCCAAAATATTTGTTCTATAGCTTCTTTTATCTCCCCCTCGTAGAGAAATTTTTGTTGATCCGTCATTGGGCAAGGATATACAATAAACTAACTAAGGAGACGAATATAGTGTGTTTTGATAATACTAAAATAACCATGATGATAATCAAATAGCTAATCCTATCCCATCTAACTTTTTTGCATGGATATACTTTAGAAGAAACATTTAAAATGTGAATTGTTTAGAACTTGGTGCTAACAAGGCCCAACTCTATTGCTCCTTGAAGTTTAGAGTCATTCTATAGTGAGGGCCTTATATATGGCTCTTAGTTGAGGTTTTATCTCTTAACCGTTGAATTAGACTAATTAATTTGATTCAATGATTAAGAGATAGGGTCACCAACAGGAGTTGGTCCAAGTGGAAGGGGCTTGGATCCTTTAAACAAGAGGTCCTGGGTTCGATCTCAGGCGCTTGCGAATAGAGCAGACTTTGTTGGGAGAGGTCCCCGCTTTGCGCCCGACAGTACCTCGAGGGTTAGTCCCCGCAATCGCGCGGGGAATACCTTGGTTTTCACCAAAAAAAAAAGATAGGGTCTCACCTAATGGACATAAATAAAGTCATCACTATAGAATTTTTGTGGAGTTTAAATTTCACATATTATAAGTAGCCCGTTCTAGGACCATTTAGGCCCATAAAGCCCAGCTCCGGTCGCACCTCATGGCTAAAACGGTAGAGGACGGGGCCGTTTTGTTTAATATGCCTAGAATAAAGCATATTGCGTGCTTTTGATATTGAAGCCCGACTTTCACAAGTGGGGTAAGATTTGATGCAAAATTTAATTATGCCGATCAAGAAAATTCAACGCCCACCGAGATGCTAAGAAAAGAATAATAATATTTCAAAAGTTGCACGACAATCAAACTTTAATTAATAAATAAATGTCCAATGTGGTGTCAACTAGAAGCTTACAAAATAATAATAATAATAATAATAATAACAAATATTAAAAAATATATAATTAAAAAATATAAGAGAGAAGAAACAACTAGGGATGGGGATGTCTTGACTAATAATAAAATTATATGCATTGCTAGTTGGATCCTTTTAAGCACTCCAACCTTTGTTGTGATATTATTATTATTTTCAAACCCTTTTATTTGACTTTTAAAACATTTTTAAATTATGAGGAGAATAAAATTATGGCACTATTAGCTATTGGGTGCTCTATCTCTTCGACCGCGGGGAGAGCATCAAATTTTGAAGATACGAATTTATTTCTTTATCCATACAAATTTTTCTAGCGGAGAATCAAATCCTATGCATATCAAACATGGGCACAATGTAATAATTCTTTTTTAGAGGTGGTCCGGCGCAAAGTCAAACATCGATTCGTATTGAGATTGAAGGGATTTTTTTAGTTAAAAGTTGAATTAACTTAAGGATGTGATTAAAGTAAGTTAACTTGTGACAAAAATTATTCGGTTCTTCCAATACATTCCTTGAGTTCTAAAATGGAGCGAGCACAATTACGAGAGTAGGTAAAAATTGCACAACTTATTTTAGGCAGTGGATAGAGAGCATGGTTTGAGTTATATTTTTCAAATTTCTCTCTAAAATTTGTCTAAATATGTAGTTTATGGAGCCCATTGTGGATGCTCTAAAAACTATGAGATGACGATCATAAATATTACAAAAATGTAAATTTATGTTTATTTTTAATTATTTTCCACCATTATCCATTACATTGCATCATAATTCAAGAATATATTCTTAATATTTCTTAACCAAAAAAATAAAATTGATGCATAGTTTGTAGTCTTTTGCCTCTACAATTATGTGCATAATCTTTAAAGAAAGTCATAGTCAACTCTACGTCTTCATTTTAATCGTCGGATATTTATAGGATAAATCGGACGGTTAATATAAGAGATACCAGCAAGACCCAGCTTTTATGAAAAGGAAGTTAAGTAGTTTAAGGTGTTTGGTAAAAATAAAATATCCCGATTATTTTAAAAGCAATGGCCTTTTGACAGCAGCTTTTAAAAGTAGGCCCTAGGTTGCTTTTCAAAGCTGCTTTCAAAAGTAGCAGAGATGAACATTTAATGGATTTTTTTAATTCCCAAAATACCATCATTCATTTTAAAAAATGACACCACCTCCACTTCCACATCCAACTCAACCACTTGCACCACCACATTTACTACCTCCACAACCACCGCCACCACCATATCCTCCTCCTCCTCATCCTCCACCACCACCACCACAACCACCACCTCCTCCACCACCACCACCTCCTCCACCACCACCTCCTCCTTCACCTCCACCTCCACATCCACCACCACCACCACCACCTCCTCCAAAACCTCCAAATCCACAACCAACATCACCACCACCACATCCTCCTCCTCCTCATCCTCCGCCACCACCACCTCATCCACCACCTCCTCCACCACCTCCACCACCACCACCACCTCCACAACCAACACCACCACCACAACCATGCTGCCACTGCCACCACCACCACCTCCACAACCGCCATCCCTACCACCACCACCTCCACTCGATCACTACAACTACCACCACATAATTAGTACATAACACTTTTAACATCATGTCTATTTTAGTCATTATTCATAGTTACAACAATTTTATATAAAAATTAACCAAACGTTTTTTACACTGCTTTTTGTACTAACAGCACTTTAAAAATATTGTTTACCAAACATGGAGCTGCTTTACTTTACAGCTAATTATTTTCAAAGCACAGCAGAAGCAACTTTTTTTTAAAAGTGACAACAATCCCAAACTAGGCCTTAAAATGGAAAAGGAGACTTCCACGTGATCACCCACTTTTGGTCAGCTTTATTTTCTCTTCCCCACTCAATAATTTTTTTCGTAGAACAGAGATTAATTAATCCCACTCAGCCAAAAAAAAAGTAAAATAAAATTGACATTTCTCATTCACATAGAGGCATTGAGAATTGGATGAACTACTCTTTTTTAGTTGATCTCACTTATGATTTCAAGTGTATTTAATTACGAATTTTAATATGAAATTCATATAATTTTTGATTTCGCATGTTGGGGAAGTTATAAATTAGAATTATTTTAATATCCATGTGAAAAGCATGAATTGATAAGCAAACACGACATAAGATATTGTAAATGTTGGTCGTAGCAATGTGCAGCCTATTTGAGGAACCACCTAATTGTATTACAGATGTTCTTTTTGAGAATTGTAACTTTTAGTTTTTACAGGTATGTTATTAGGGGGATGGGGGTGCTTTAATGGAGGCAAGATTTCTTTTCGGGATTCGGATCCTCTGCTCTTATTTTCTCTGCCATGATCTGCTTTACTTTTGCTCTCCACACGCCACCTCATGTATTTATAAAAAAACCCACACACTATTTAAATATAGAAACACACCCAAAATCAATTCTAAAATAAACAATTATATATTTTTTTGGTGTGTTTATAAATGGGTTTTGAGTGTGTGTAATGATGGGTTTTGGGTGTGTTTATAAAGTGTTTTGGGTGTTGGGTTTTTTTATAATTTCAGCCCCCATTTTGGGTGTTTTAGTGAAACCCCCTAAAATTTAATCTAAAGGACTTAAAGTTGACACATCATTCTTCAAGAAAAACCCAATTTACTTCTAATTAAAAAAGAAAAACAATATCCTAACCCAACTAATCAAACTTAACATCCTATCCCTTTCTTCTTCTTTTTTCTTGCTTCTTCCCGTCACACGATTTCTTCCTGTCTATAATCACAATCGATTCTGGTTGTTCCAGCGTTTGTTTAGTGGTGGAGCTTTGGTTGTTTAATATTGTTAATATTGAACTCAATGCCACCAGGTATGCTCAAGTGTGTCCTCAGAGTCAGCAAATATGAAGGAGCTCCTCCAATGGAATGACCTATATCAACAAGGTGGATCCATAAAGAAAAAATCTCTCAACTATGTTATGTAAAATTGATTTTTTTTCTTTTCTTTTCTTTTTGTGTGTAGAAGTCCTCGTTTTCTTTATTCTTCTTCGTTCTGCTTAAAGGCATGGCAAGATGGGATCTTACATAGATATCCATGGAAATCCCATTGGTCATGTTCCCATCTATCAAAAGAACAAAAAGCAAACTTATTTCCCCATATCCTTTGATGTGATGAGGGTGGTTGAAGGAAAAAAAAAATTCCTTCACTGTTTTCTTGGATAAAAGAGGAATTACGTTTCAAGACTTGGATATTGGGATTGTTTTGTAAGGTCCATTGACTGATGAGTTATGGTTATTTTCTCAAATCAATGGCTACTGAAAGATATATTTATATATATATTTTTTATTTTGATAGA